CAAGCCGTTAACCGACCTAGCTTGATCTTCTAAGGAATGTGGAGATACTTAAGGCAGTGTCTTCTAGGAGTAATCACCCAAATGTCTCTCTTGTTCAGTCTATCGGCTAGACGGCAGGTAATACCGATCACTGTCTGGCGAGTTCCTCTAAATCACGCTTGTTCTTTACAAAGCAAAACAGAAGGCATGCCTCCCATTTGCTCAATCCACTGTCGGTAAATGCAGCGGTCTACACAATGGCTGTCACTTGGTACCACATCATTTCGTGTACTACCGACAGTAACGTGATATTGCCACCGATATCTGGGCCAACTTCTCACCCACTGCTTCGCGGTCCCACCTGCACGCCTTCACCACCTCACCTCGCAGTTGGGCTCGCCTACGGGTGCAATGCTGCCGGAATGCCGAAAGAACCACTGTCTTAGTTTGTTTTCCCATCGCTCAGATTCATCACTACTTCTGCTTGTATAAATGAACTTACTTTATCCCTTCATTAACCCATTCTTCAAAATAAATTGTTTAGTTGTGTAGTAGACTTAGATTTGCATCCTTCTTTGGCTTAGTACTTACCGAAATGGTAAGAAATAATTAAAATTTTATTGTCAACTTTCGACTGCAGTTTTTGTTTTCGGCGATGGTTTTACAAAGTGAGCATTCAAAAGATTATTCACACCATTATTTGACCTATTTTAACTTCACTCAGTCGTTAGGATACGGACAATCGCGTCAATAAGTAACCCACTTGTCGCAGTTAGACGCGCAAACACGTTGGCAATTGCTGTGCGGAAGAATGTGCCTGCCTCTAGACAACATTACCGTGCTGATAAAGTTTTGATAGCGTGACTTGACCAATTTTTGATCAAAATTCTCCAAGAAATTTCTTGTTCTTTTATTAATGACAACCAAGGTTAATCTAATCCCGATTCAGTTTTTGGTGGAAGTCTCACCAACCTACATGCTGTCTTAATAAATACAATTGCTAAAGTTCGGCTTTGAATAGGAAATTGGAGAGAAAAATGGATAAAACCAGTCAGCGAAGACCACCTGCTAGAGGAGCTTTCTTGGAGCTCCTTATTGTTGCACTCGCTGTGTGACTCAAAGTCAAATGAGCTCCGGACGCGGAGACATCAAAGTGTGCGCGTCACCATATTGACTCCGGACTTCTATAAGTGGCCACCCATTAAGTGAGAGAGCAGAGGTGTGAAGCAATAAAAGAAACACTTTGTTGAGGTCAATACTAGAAAGCAGTTTTCGAGTTTGTTGCATTTCTCGACACGGAAGGCTTCTCGATGCCAACTTTCCAGGGACTACGGACATCACTATGTCCTTGCGAGTTCCATCGCAATTGTTTCTTGGCACGGATCTATGCCCGAACAAAATTTTATTTTTTCGGCTGTTATCAGTACTGCCTACTGATAGGATAGTTGTTATCATGCCTTAGATTGTAGTAAAGGAGCAAAAGCGCCGCATTTCGAGTAAGGAAGTTCTGCTATGCTACTATGGTGGAAGTGAAGAATGGGTGCGGAGACCAACTTAGCAATAATTTTAGCCTCAGCCGCACAACGTAAGGTTTCGAATGCAAGCACCAACGAATTTACCTACTGCACGTGACTGCCAAGCTGGAAAGCTGAAAACTAATAAACTTAACTTGGACTGAAAATTGTAGTTCCACCGCCTCGTCAGCTAAGATTTGCATGTCGGTATCCGCTGATCGAATTATGGTTTTAAATAAAGGAGAGAGAGATTTATGAACTCTGTAACCACATTTCTGCCGTTCGGCAAGAGGCTTTAAAGAGATCGAAAAAACGAACCGAACCGAAAAGCAGCATGCATCAGTGAGTCACACCCAACTTGCAGAACCCGTGGGTGCATACCTTTTTTCGGTGCTCTTCGAGGGACCATTGTTCGGTTTCTCAAGGATAAATGTGGTCAAGTTTATTGATAAAAGTCGCGTATTGGTTTCAAGCCACAAATTTGTTGATTCAACATGATGTCGCCTATAAAGGGGTATTCGTTGCTCAAAGTGGAAAAACAGATGGCTGTTAATCGAATGTGCATTAGTAATTAAATTTGGTATTTCAGACATTCAATTGTCATCAAGACAACTCAGCGTATGTGCGCAAATACATGAAATGTCAAAGTATTTTTAAGAAAACCAGTTAACTGTTATTGGATTGGCATCAAGCCAGTGACAATGCCACTTTTTCAGTGGCCTCTACAGAACAACTGCATACCCTTATACTTTGTGCTCCGGATCCTCCTCTTCCTTCTCCTCCTCTTGGAAGATCGAATGCCTGAGACGAAGACGCCCATCCCAGTCACCAAACAACCATTGGACCTAGTACGATCAAGCATTTACACAAAGACCACTGCAGTTAACAGGAACTATTAAAACCACAACTCGATAAATGCACCACTGTGGAGTGAGCTCACAAACTTCGGCATTTATTTTCGAGGCATGCCCACGATCAAGTCCGTTCCCTCCAAGGGAACTCTTATAGCGAAGTTGGGCGAAACACGATTGCCATTACTATTGACCTCAAGCATTGCAAATACTTGCTACTCACCTATCTTTAAAGGAGATGTATCCTTATTCAATACAAGAGTTTTGACAAGCAAAGCTTTCAAAGGTACAGGGCTGCATACCTGTCCATTTTATGAAATAGAT